ATTCAGATTGACAGTTCACTACCCCAGGGTGTCACTCGGCCAGTTTCAAGACGATCTGATGTTGCATTACATACAAAAAGCCCTCCAAAATCTCATATTCTACCTGCTGTGCCTGTGATTTTGGATAGCTCCATAGACCCGTTCCAATTTAGATTGACAGTCCACCACCCCAGAGTGCCACTGGGCCAATGCCAGGACTGTCTGTTGTTGCATGACAAAATAAAAGCCCTCAAAAAACTTGCATATAACCTGTATTTTCCTTATTTTCAGATAGCTCTAAAAAGAAAAGTTCCTGTTTCCATAAACGATTTTCACTTCAGATTGATAGCACACCACCCCAGAGTGTCACTTATGCAATGTCAGGACTATATGATTTACAATTCCAAAATGAAAGCCTTCCAAAAACTCAAATAAATTCTGTTTTGTCTGTCATTTCAGATTGGTATAAAAAAGAAACTTCTGCAACTCCCCGGTTTCCCCTACTGGCCTGTTTGGACCTGCAGTTGAGGGTTTCGCTGAACGCTTTACCGCTGCACAGAAGTCATCCCAGGAAATGCGACACTTCCTGCCAAAGTGCTCCAGTTCGACGGCTGCTTCCAGTCGCGACAAGAATGTGCCGACTTAGCATCCCGCGAAGCCCGCACCGCCAGCTGCTCTCACGGCTCCTAAGCCAGAGCCTCATCAACGCTCCCGCTCGGCCAGACGCTACCCGTTTCCTAAACGCCAGGGCCCCCGGCCCAAGAATAGCGTTGAACCCTGCGCCTCAGGCATCATCCTGATCTGCGGGACAGGAAGAGGAAGGGGCCAAGTTTCGCTGCAGCCCGACCACCCCCCAAACAGCCTCTGTTGTGCCTCCAAGCACCCCGTTCAGTTCCGGGTGCCGACGGCAGTGTGTTTGTGACCAAAAATACTGTTGTGAACATAGGGCCCATTCTAATCGCGTCCACACAACCAGCCGCTTTTATAGTGAGAAAAATAAAACACAAACATTTTCAAAAAGAGAGCAAATGTCCTCTTCCACTCATTACGAGCGTCGGATCCCCATTTGGTGGCCCACCGCTTGAATCAATCCAACCACTTACCACGCGGGCCGAGGCCTGGCAGGCCATCCCCAGAGTGTCAGACTGGGTTATGGGGATAATAAAACAAGGTTATACACTCCAATTCGCTTGAAGACCCCAGCGATTCAGCGGTGTGGTCTCCACCTCGGTTCAGAGTGAGGATGCACATGTCCTATGTGCCGAGGTGATGAATTTGCTGGCAAAAGGGGCAGTAGAAACGGTTCACCCAGCCGAGAGCGAGTCAGGCTTCTACAGCCGTTACTTCCTCGTCCCCAAGAAGGATGGCGGCCTAAGGCCCATCCTCGATCTCAGGCACTTGAATCGTGCCCTCATGAGACGGCCGTTCAAGATGATTACATTGAAACAGATCCTCTCGCAAGTATGCCCAGGGGACTGGTTCTTTTCGCTGGACCTGAAAGACGCATACTTTCACATCAAGATAGCCCCCGTCACAGTCGATTCTTGAGATTCGCCTTCAAGGGAGTGGTTTATCAGTACACAGTCCTTCCCTTTGGACTGTCCCTAGCTCCTCACACTTTCACGAAGTGCATGGATGCGGCTCTTTCCCCGCTGATACAGACGGGAATCCGCATTCTGAATTACCTCGACGACTGGCTCATTCTGGCCCAGTCAAAGGACGAGCTACTATCTCACAGATCCGTCCTCCTCAACCACCTAGAATGCCTGGGACTCAGGGTCAATTTTGCCAAGAGCGCGCTGTTCACCAGCCAACGGATATTGTTCCTGGGAAGAGTTTTAGACTCAGCCCAAATGAGGGCGATAGCCGCGCCAGAACGTGCGCTGGCCATTCAGCAGCTCGCGGCCTCATTCAAAGTTGGAGCCTCTCGCCCTCTCAAGGTGTTTCAGAGAATGCTGGGCCTCATGGCCTCTGTGTTTCCGGTACTTCAGTTAGGCCTGCTCCGCATGCAGCCCCTTCAGTACTGGCTGAAACCACGAGTTCCGTCCCACGCCTGGCGTCTCGGACGCCTTCGTGTAAAGGTGGACCAGGCCTGTGTAACAGCCCTGGCCCTTTGGAAAGAGCCTCAGTGGATGGAACGGGGCGTGCCCCTGGGAATTGTCTGTAGAAGGAAGGTGGGCTCGACAGACGCCTCCAACACAGGTTGTGGAGTGCTGTGCGATGGCAAACCAGCTTTCGGCCACTGGTCGAAAGAGGAAGGTCGGCAACACAGACACAAGGTTCTGTTGGTGGCCCCACTCTGGAGGAACCAGAACTGGTTTGCAGAGCTGTACCGGCTGCTCTCGACAGCCCCGTGGCCCATTCCCCTGAGACGAGACCTCCTCTCTCGAACGGTATGGCATCCCCAGCCCGAGCTGTGGGCTCTGCAGCTTTGGCCTCTCGATGGAAGCTTGTGAACCTCCCTGAGAATGTGTTAAACACAATTTCTCAGGATAGAGCACCGTCTACAAGATGCCTCTATGCCCTTAAATGGTCTGTCTTCTCCGCCTGGTGTGCAGCCCACGGCGCAGACCCAATATCCTGCAACATATCTCTGATATTGTCCTTCCTGCAAGAACTGGGGTCGTTCGCCTTCCACGCTCAAGGTCTATGTAGCAGCCATAGCAGCCTCTCACGCTCCTATAGCGGGCCAATCTGTGGGCAGGAACAACCTAGTTGTTCATTTTCTGAAGGGGTCTAGAAGGCTCAACCCACCTCACCCCATCACCGTCCCTACAGGCGCAGTCAGACAATGTAAGTCACTTAATATTAACTTTTTGTTTATTGAATTGTATTGTATTAAATCAGTATCACATTTACAAACTCCCTTAAAAATCATTAAACTCATCTTAGTTCATCGCGATCTCACATTTATAATCAACGAAGCTCTCTACACTGCGCAATGAATCTCTTATTTACACCCTGTCTACACTTTGCCTATGAAAGGATTCGTGAGATGTGTCTGTGATACAAAACTATTTTCGACTACGAAATAGAGCAAAATCAGACAATAGTGTTATAGTCAGACAATGTAAGTCACTTATTATTAACTTCTTGTTTATTGAATTGTATTGTATTAAATCAGTATCACATTTACAAACTCCTTTAAAAATCATTAAAAGCTGGCACTCATCTTAGTTCATCGCGAGCTCACATTTCTAATCAACGAAGCTCTCTACACTGCGCAATGAATCTCTTATTTACACCCTGTCTACACTTTGCTTATGAAAGGATTCGTGGGATATGTCTGTGATACATTACTCAACGCTGCAAAAACACGTAGAAACCGTTGAAGCTCCCCTGAGCGCAATCACAAGTATGATGATGATCGGGTCAGTCGCACTGGTGCTCCTAAAAACATTTTCATAGTCGCACGCAGTAGTTTTCAGTCGCAAATGCATGGTTACATACCTAAGGTGCTCTCTACTCCATTCAGGGCACAGGTAATAACTCTATCGGCGCTTCCTCCTTCAGTGCAAGAACAAGAGTTGAATTTACTTTGCACCGTCAGGGCGTTGAAAGTCTATGTTGAGCGCTCCGCCCCGTTCAGGAAGTCGAATCAGCTATTTATATATTTTGGTGGCCTCACCAAGGGTTCTCCGGTCACGAAGCAGAGACTTTTGAAATGGATAATTGACGCTATTATGCTAGCATACTCTTCTTTGGGCCTTCAATGCCCCATGGGAGTAAGAGCCCACTCAACCAGAGGCGTTGCCTCTTCCTGGGCCTGGTCTAGCGGTGTGTCCATTGCAGAGATTTGTGCGGCGGCCGGCTGGGCCTCGCCATCCACATTTGCCAGGTTTTATAATCTGGTGTGTGGCGGCTGGCTGTGCCTCGCCATCCACATTTGCCAGGTTTTATAATCTGGACATTCCGGCCTTACAGGCTCGGGTGAACAGTGCATAAACAGGGCACTCTGTCATTTGACAAAACGAGTGCTTGGCGTTTGCCATCTTCATGTACGCTCTTGGCCCTCACTGAGCCCCGAGGCTGTACTAAATTATCTTAGGACGATTATACAAGGCTGGGCTGACCTCTCTGAGTTTGGCCCTACTGCCTCCTGTGGGGCTTCCCTGCAAAATACTTGGTCCCTCTGGGCCCCCCTTGGGTGCTTAAGGCAAGTTCAAGTATTAGTCGTTCCTCTACCATAGCACGGCGGGATTGTACTGGTTCTCCAAAGCGTCTTAGCAGATGCAGTACGAGTGAAGTATCGATAGGGAACGTACTCGGTTACTAACGTAACCTCGGTTCCCTGAGATACGGAATGAGTACTGCATACTTTTGCCATGCTATGTAGCTGCACGACTCATTCGTCGCTTCAGTCGAAGTAACCTGAAGATCCTACGGCGAAATGCCCGATTATATAGCCAGATGGCCCCGCCCATTCTGACGGGCTTTGTCGCCATAGGCTTGTGCAGCTCTGCTGCCGAGCCATTGGTTCGTTTTTTATTCACTGCACGAACCAATGCCAAGGCCATGCAGTTACACTGCATTATTGAAAGTGTAGGATCTCCTTTGAACAGAACAGCATGTCCGAGCGAGAAGAATAGCAGGTCTACACCGCATTACTTTTTGCAACCTCCATTGACCTCAGGGCTTTCTCTGTCCTCCCCCTTTCTCTACATTCCAGAAAAACGCGCGTTTCTCCTGTCACAGACAAAGGAACATAGAACTTACACAGACAATTCAAAAGACAATAATTTAAAAGT